GTGTTTTTTTAGCAACTGTAGTCAGTCTTCTTAACTCTAGACCACGGTAGAGGAGGCGAGTCCTCTGCATTTCTTGTAGAGCGCGCTGCAGGTTGGTGGGGCTGGGTGGGGAGTGTCACATCCAGGTGAAGGTTTGGGGCTTCATGACAGTTTAGACTGGACATTATGTGCAGGACTGCATCTCATGGCTTCTTTCTCCGTCCTCAGCTTTGCCTGCTTAGTGCTTGGACTGCCAGTGAGCGAGGACCCAGAGAAAGACACCTGCATCTGGGTTATTGACAATGCAGCCACTGGTGAGTGGGGATCGCCTCTTTCCGCTTACACCCTTGTGCCATCTGACGGGCGGGATTTTCCCATTGGCACGCATATTCCAGGTGCAGTCAGGAAGTATTCAGGGATTCGAGCTCCGGTGAAATCTCCCCAGGACTCTGGGATGGTTCTAATGGGTCAGGAACTCCTCAGTAACTAATAACCTTTCTGCCTCACACTAGTTTACTCTCGCCTCCATTAAGCTTATGTATTTACAGAAAAGAAGAAAGAAGTTTTTTCTCTAACTTAGTCCATATCCTTACCGGGAAATGATTCACTCACTAATCACGCTGTTTGCTATAATGGTCCTTTGTAAAGGGTTGTGATGAAGAGATGAGCCAGGAGGGCAACACTGTAGTCCAATAGGGAGGTGGGTTCTGACAGTCCAGTGTTACAGGTCCTGGTTGGGGTCTTTGGGTGTGAAAGGAGCACGAGAAAAGTTTAGGCCAGAAAAGGCATGAAGGGTCACTCATTCTGTCCAGTTTTAAAGTTCTGATAGAGTGTATTTGTACTTTTGGAAACTTCTTAAGAAGAGAACTCACTTTTCACTATCATTCATGTTCCCAGTCACACATTTTGCCTTACTGTAATTAATTAACGTTTTAAGAAAATATTTCTTAGCTGCAATTAGTGTACAGGGAGTATTACTTCCGTAACTGTGGCTGTATACTCAGGACAAGGGAGCAGAGTACAATTTAAGATCCTGCAGAAACTTTTTAAGAATTAAATAAACCAAAACCAGTCAAGAGACTTCTGTTATCCTTTAGCAGAAGCACCAGATAGGAGACGGTGATAACTGTGTCTGAGGTCCCAGAGAAGATGGGGATTGGGAGACCTCGTGGCACAGGACCGGTCAGGCCAGGACTGTCCCCCAGCACAGCCGTCTCAGAGGTCCCTGGCTTTGCTGCTGAGCCTTCTGACCTTGTCCTTTATTATGAACATCTGCGTCCCATAGAGATGAGCAAGACGACACTATTTTTACCAAGTTCTTTATGAAACCTGTTCATTTTTGAAGAATGCTACAGACGGTTTCAAGGTTCTTGGGACAATGTAAGGAGTAATAGGCAAATGGCTTACATTTAATACGTTTACTTAGATAGGAAGAACTTCGTACATTAGTTTATCAGGTCTTTCAGTACTCGTAACAGTTTATTAAATGTTTACCTATGGGAATGGCGTCATGGTTTAAAGAGACAAGTCACGGTTATTGTTTGCCTTACAGTGAGTCGGTAAAGTTACTTGAAATTACCAGAAAGTGAGTTTTAGTTATTAATTTTCAAGTGCCACATATCAGAAACCATCATTACCAGTTTTTATTTTAGACTTTGTCTTTATTTTACGTATTTACTTTTGTAAGTAGGCTTCACACCCAGTGTGGGGCTTGAACTCAACAATCCAGAGGTCAAAGAGTCACCTGCTGTACTGACTGAGCCAGCCAGGAGCCCCTAGAAATACCAGTTGTTGTTGTTTTTTTTAAAGTTCCAGGTAATATTATGTCACGCTTCACGTGATACCCCCTTATAAAGAAGTTTTATTGCTTCAGACTGGATGTATCTCTGTGATGAATCTGAAAGGCAGCTGCCCATTCGGTACGGAGAATGAGCTGACGGAACCCCACGTTCAGTTTGATCTTTCGACACACCCGGCGCCTCCGCCCCCTTCCTCAGAGCTGTCAGCTCAACCCTCCTACTCTGGACGCCTGTTGGGAGTGCTCGGTCTAAACCGGAATATCCATGATGTTTCAGGAATCAGTGACATTTGAAGATGTAGCTGTAGACTTCACCCAGGAAGAGTGGGCCCTGCTGGACGCATCCCAGAGAAAGCTGTTCAGAGATGTGATGCTGGAAAATATACGTCATCTGGTCTCCCTGGGTGAGTCTGCCAGTACGTGTGTATCGGTATGCATGTATACGTATACAGATGGGTGGGTCAGGAGGTAGTCAGTCCATCCGTCCACAGGAATCTGGAATAGCTTCGACGTACCCACTCCACATTCTTCCCTGAATCTTTCATAGACCTTCCTGGAAAAATAAGTTATTTCTTTGTATTTTGCTCCATCTAGTTTGTCACCCCACTAGAATGTAATCTTAGCCACAATTTAATGTCTTTGTTGCTACTCAGTCTCTAACACAAAGAGAACTGGGAACTCAGTATTTCTGAATGTAGAAATAAGCTGATTAAACATTTTCTAAATAATTATTCTGCTCTAGTCACTGTGGCAAGAGTTGAAAGCAGACTAATGAAAACAATAGAACTTGGTTATTCTTGTAGAGCTTATGTTTGTTGGTGTCTGTTTGAAAATAATATTCAACCCACACTGGAGATATTCAGCGTGTAATGTGGACTGTTTGGCGTTCTTTGAGCTTGGGCACAGACATCAGCATCCAGAGGTCTTCACTGTTGTGAACACAGTCTGGATGTCAGTGTTCTTTTCTATTCAAGTGGTGCCTGGGGTGAACTTCAGTGTTGTCCTTGTCCTTCCTCAGTAGCCTGTCCTGGACTTGATGATAATTACTAGCTTCGGGGAAGGAGAGGACTTTTATCAGCACAGAATTCAAAATCCATGTACCTTTTTTCAATGACCAGGGTACCAACATTGCCAGTCAGATGTGATTTTCCAGCTGGAGCAGGGAGAAGAGCTGTGGGCTGAAGGAAGCGGATCTCTCCAAAGCCAGGGTCCAGGTGAGCCGCAGGGACCTGTGCTTAGTAGGCGACGTGCCTGCTCAGTAGGGAGCATGTTCCTGGAAATGCCGGCTGAAGGTCTTGTCCAGTGAGGGATGCTTCCTAAAATGCGAGGAAGGACACTGGGGTAGAATTCTTCAGTTACCATTATTCCTCGCATGTGACAGGCACGGTTCATGTTTCCTCCTGCCACTGTCTTTTTTTGGCTTTAGGGAGAGCATATTCATGTGCTTATCGCAGTTAAATTTTCCCGCAGTAACTCACACTGCCTACCCAACTTCTCTCCCTTAGAATTTTTTTATAATTCAATTTGAAATCTTCACTTGCCAATTACTTAGTATTCCTGGAGTATTCCTTCCCTTGATTTATTTGCCCCCATCAAAGTCCCATGGGTCTTGGTGCTTTTCAACATTTTCATTCCCCTAATGCCATTCGAAATATTTGTGTTTTTTTCAATTGTTTTAGGTGGGGAAAGTGCCCTTAAAGAACAAGACATGATAGCCCCACAGCGTATCAGCAGCAAGGACACGTCTACGGTCACGCCAGAGGTGAGTTCCAGGGGTAGTCACCCAGCTCACGCAAAGACCTGGAAATAGGATGTTAGTAATTGAGCACAATAGCCTAATTTACATTAAATTGGGATTAAGCCTTTTTTTTTTTGAGCAAAAGGTTTAATGAATCTGAGCTCAAATCCATAACCTGAGATCTTTAAGAAAAGGTTTTTAAACATGGATCAAAAGTTCATAAACACTGATCGTATGCCTAGTCTTTGAAACATGTTAAGGTCTCCAAAATCAGGTAATAAGCTCTGCGGTTGGGATGCTACAAAAGGGGTTACTCCCCTGCATACATGAAGATTTTCCATCATGTGTATGCAAGTAATACTGAATTTTGATTGGAGACCATCACTGAATGATTTCTATTCCTATAGAGAAGGGAACGTATGGACATAGACAAAGCTTTACCAACCTTCCACCTCTTTCCCCAAAGCAGAAGTCTCCTTCGCCAGAGGATCCCTTTGAATGCAGTGACTTGGAAGAAGATTTCACTCGCAGCTTCATGGTGACTCGGCGTCTGCTGACTCCCACAGAAAAGACCCCCTGTGTCAGTAAACAGTGTCAAAAATCGGTTAGTGAGTCGTACCTTAATCAACACAAGCACCTTCACACTAGAGGTAAATCATGTGAGTGCCATCTGTGTGGGAAAGCCTTTAGCAATTGCTCCAGCCTGAGGAGACACGAGATGACTCACACCGGAGAGAAGCCCTACGAATGCCGTCTCTGTGGGAATGCCTTCATTCAAAGCTCTGACCTTAGAAAACACAATCTGACTCACACTGGAGAGAAACCGTACGAGTGTCACCTGTGTGGGAAAGCCTTCAGCCAGTCCTCCAACCTCAGACAGCACGAGAGAACGCACACGGGGGAGCAACCGTACGAGTGCCACCTCTGTGGGAAAGCCTTCAGTAAATGCTCTGCCCTCAGACGGCACGAGAGAACGCACACTGGGGAGAAACCGTACGAGTGCCACCTCTGTGGGAAAGCCTTCAGTCAGTGTTCTGCCCTGAGACGACACGAGGGCACCCACAACGGAGAGAAAATTAGGAATGCCTTCGGCAAATGTCCTGACCTCACATGACCCGCGTGGCACGACTGTCACGAAGGCGGGCACCACGTCCACCACAGCGGTTAACACTGAAACGCACCACAGGACTCGCACGTCGTTCGGTCTCATTCGTCGGACTCACGCAAACTTCTCTGGGAGAAATCCGCCGTGTGCCGTCCACGCGGCAAGACCTTCGGTCAGTGCTCCGACCACAGGCGACACGAGCGCACTCACTCTGTAAATGCGAGGAAGGGACAGGTTTGCGGCCACGGCACCTCCGCGCGGGAGAAGCCCGAGGTCGGTAATCACCGTGCACGCCGCTCAGCGGGCACCGGGCCTGCGCCCAAGAAAGCTCAGTGAGGTCTGAGTAGACGCTCGCCCCAGATGGAAGAGGGAGAACGCTCTTGAGGAACACCAAAAGTCACACCGCGGTGAAGACTCACGGGAACCCCTTGGCTCACAGAGAAGCCCCGTGGCGCATGTGAGGACACAGACCCTACAGAGCAGTGTCACCAGCAGAGGAGAATCCAGTGGTCACTCACTTCTTAGCCAACGTTAAAGTTCTTACCCTAAGGAGACATCAGTCGTGAAACCAAAGTGGAGGTAACTTCAGCTAGATTTCACATCAGAAAACTAAGTCGGGGGACAAAAACCTCTAAGAGAGCCTTTTGACGTAGAATTTAGCAAATATTTCAGGATTTTGAGAAAATAACTATTCATGGGGAAAATGTGGCATGTAAGTGCAAAATAGTAAGGTGATCCGGGAATACTGAATGCAGAAGTTTGTAAGAAATTAAATTTTTTCAATAGATTATTACTTGTAAATATTTAAACAATAAACCCTGTTGCTGAAAAATCTAATGTTGGTGAAGTTCTAGTTTTCTCTGTGCGGTTGTAAACGGGCTCCAGCCTGCGCTCCTCGGTACGTGGGTGAGACTCAGCAGGACTCCGTGTCTCCCCCTTTCTCCAGCAGTTTCTTCCACACAGATCAGGTCCGCTCTTTCCAACGTGTCACCGTCAGCTGCCTCCTGCGCCCTGGTGGCACACAGCAGGGACGCTCAGCCCGGCCCGGCAGGACCCTACTGGACATTAGTGTAAGCTGCAGGGCTGTCTCCTGCCTGTGCCCCTAGGCGATCACATGGGGCCAGGGAAACAGGCAGTGGTCTTTCCAGACCAACGACATTCCTTGGAGTTTTTCCACGAAGCTTCTTTGGGGGTAGGAGTTCATCCCACAACCATACCTAACATCTGCTCAAATGAGTCCTGAGTTATGTGCACGGCCGTGCACCCCCAAGCAGTCCTGCAAAGAAAACTAGTACCATAAAATCCCCTAACCTGTCAGACATCACAGAAGACTTTGGCATAAATGTACTCTTCTCCAAACAAAATGAAAGTTCTCACAGGGGCCGTCTCCCCAGCTTTGGTCCCAGGCCCTGGAAATGCTCTGCCCTTCAACAAACCCTAATACTGGACCTAAACCTCAAGGGGGGATGTTCTCTTCCCAAGCTGCCACAATCCTAAAATCTTAGCCTGGGACCAATTAAATGAGCACATCTCTGGGTGGAACTGATCGTTAAAAAAAATTTGAGAGACAGGGAGAGAGGCAGCATGAGCGGGGGAAGAGCAGAGAGAGAGGGAGGGAGACACAGAATCCAAAGCAGGCTCCAGGCTCCGGGCTGTCAGAATAGAACCTGATGCGGGGCTCAAACTCACAAACCATGAGATCGTGACTTGAGCCAAAGTCAGACGCCCAACCAGTGGAGCCACCCGGGCGCCCCAGATCATTTTTAAAAATTACCCACCAGTGATTTTACCCTGCAGCCAGGGTGAGTCGTGTGAGGACAATAAGCAATCAATGTCCAACATCTTGGCACCCAGGCTGGAGAGGCAGGTCTGTGATCAGGCAGGGACACAGGGAGGTATGAAGGGGACCAATTAGTGATTAGAAATTCAGACCCTGGAGACACACCTCATGGGTTTTAATTTCCACTGTCACAGCCAGTGAGATCTTGTTACTGAACCTGTGACTCATCAGTTCTAAGGCAGAACTAAGCTTACTGCTTTCATCTTCAGACTTACTGAAAAGACTGAGAACTCGGTTCTACATACACCAAGTTGTTATTACAGGTAATAGGTATTTTGTATTTGCCAGTGACACTGCATAAGCAGAGATGTGAATTTACCCCTCTGCCCTATTTTTATATTGAAGTATTTCATAACCATTCTTAAAAATATAAACAGGTGGTATTATATTCATCTGTTTATAACAATATGTACCTTATCCCCATGCTGCAGTTGATTTTTGCTATAATCCTGAGCCCCAACTAAATTTGAGACCATTTCTGGTGGCTCAGCTGGGAATCACACACCCTCTGCCCGTGTGTCTCCAGGAAGGAAGGGATCCTTCCTGGTGCCTCCTGGGGGTGGGGCCTGTGCTAGAGTTGGGACCCCTTCTGAGAGGATCTCATGTTCCAAGGGGCTTTATCTCCACCGACCTATGGGTGGAAGTGTGCTGGGCCGCTGTACTGAGATCAAGGGACTTCAGGGCAGATAAAGGAAAATCTATGACTACAAGGTGATGGAGTGACACAACTAGCTTTGTCTGGGTGGCACGTTGACAACTTGCTGTAAGGGGAAGTCCCTCACAAGTTGACTCCTTCCAGAGGAAAACAGCGTGGGGCCACCACCCAGAAGGGGAGGCTGGCAACAGAGCTCCGGGCGGGGCGGGGCGGGGGGAGAGCCATCTTCGCGTCCAGATGAAGTCTCGTTCGCACACAGGGAGTCCCCGGGTCACATCTACTGGGGGCTAGCAGCGCTGAGAGGATTGGACGGTCCACGGTTTACCTTTACGGCTAGTGGCTAGCAGGTGCAATGTCAGTATGCACAGCACGCAGGCTCTGAATGGTTACAAATCTGCTAATCCGAGCTGTTTACAACAATTGGGTGTAAAAATGCGAGTTTGGCACTGGTGGGTTTTTAAGCTCATGGGCCTGGTCTGCTGCAAAGAAGTAAAAAATACGGAGACCATCTTTGGCTCATTTATAAACGAGGTGATAATTTCAACTGATTTTTCTTCGTGTTCACTGGTTATTTCTTTTGCCTGCTCAAATCCAGGGTTGGAGCCTTTCGTCATTGTACTCTTCGGAATTGTGCTCTTCGGCTCCAGAACTTCTATTTGATTCCGTCCTATAACTTCTGTCTCCTTATTGAAACTCCCAACTTGGTGAAATAACGTTCTTCTGGTTTCCTTCAATCCTTTGAGCCTCACGGAGACACCTGTTCTGAAGCTTCTGTCCAGCACGTGCACGGTCTGTGCTTCCTCAGAGACCGCATCTGTCCGATCTTCTTTTCCCCAGGGTGGGGTATACCTTCTGATTTCTTCACGTGACTCATAATTTTTTGCCGAATACTGGATATTTTGAATATTAGAATTGGTCCTCAGAAATCAGATTCTCCTACTGTCCCAGGGTCTGTTGTTATGTCGCTTGTTCAGTGATTTTCTCAACTCTTTGTAACGGCTATTCGGCGTGTGTGGCCCTGAAGTCTGTTCCGTCAGCTCAGGGGTCACCTCGTGACTTGAGACCGATCTCCTTCAACAACCGCGGCCAAAACACCCCGGTGCAGCGCCAGTCACGGCAGACTGACTCTGTAGGCGCTCTCCTCCAGGGCTCGGGCAGGACGTCGGCCCTGTCCCACCCTTCGCTGCACCTGCTCCAGTGCTGACGGTGGACTCGCGTGGTGCCCTCACACGTTTTCCCAGCACGTGTCCAACCGCAGGCATCAGCGTGGCCTTCAGATGCCGAGGCGCTCGGCAGGCTTATCTCCCAGCTTCCTCCCTCGGGGACTCCCTGGTCCGCCTGCCTCCCGCCCCTGTGCTCAATCCCTGCAAGTGCAGCTAGTAGATTTCAATGAGATGCTCTTGACATTGCCAGCCAGGAGGGTCCTTCAGCCCCCAGAAAGTTCTAAGGCCGTCGCAAAAGGAGAGCCCGTCCCTCCTGGAGCCCCCAGACGGGTCCGAACGCACAACTACGATTCCCTGAGAACGACGTTTGCGTTGCCCTGGCAACAGAAGGCTGCGTCGGGAACGTGGGCCACTCACGGCTGCCACAAAGCTGGGGAGTGTGGCACAGTAGGTGGGCAAGTTAGAACATCACACTGCTGTTTTACTGAAATCAAATAGCTTTCGTTCTTCACGAAGCATCCCCCCAATTATTTGAACTATCAATACCTCATTCTCCGACTTAATTTTGCAATTTTTGTTTTCCTAGTCCAGTTCTGTTTCCCCTGGCATTTGAAGATTTTAACTTACCTCTACTCTCTAAAAAATCTTACTAACATTAGGTAAATATGTAGAAGGAATGTTATCTGTTGTGTCCAAATTCCGAATAACCAACAATTTATCCTCAAGGATTCAGTTTCATTTTATTACTTCCTGAAGACCCCAACTAACTGCCTTGTGTTTAGAGACAACACACATCATCATGGTATAACATATTTAAATACCCCTACCTTTATTTTCTAGACACACTACAACATAAAAAGTTATTAGTGTGCGTTTCTCTGGGGAAAGCTTAATCTATGGCCTATAAGAAAGAATTATGGGAAATACCCTGCTACCGCGGTTTTGGATTTTTGTTTTTTGTTTTCCCAGGACAAAAATTTAGTAGAACCCTAAACCTACTCCATATTTTAGTGACCTCCATTTCCAAAACTAGAATACAAACTCCCAGAGGAACTTAACATTGTTTTCTCCTGGTATATTTTACTAACACCCAGCAGGAGAACTCAATTCAAGACTCAGAGCTTTGGCAAGGCTGTTTTCCACATTACACAAATATTCTTGTGGTAAATACCTTTCAAACACTGCTCACATGTCACTCCATAAAGCCGGTCTTAATTCTATCAGCCCAAGTTAGGTCCTGGACCCTGAGACCTTTCACAATACTTGGCTTTCATGTCTCTGGTACAGGTTTTATTTCAGTGTATCACTTCTCTGGAGATTCTCCTTGAGTGTTCATTTATTCATCAAAACC